GCAAGAATAGTGTCTGGGTCTTAAAGGCTTGTCTTAAAACAAGCAGCCACCCCCCCCAACCCCAAACAAACAAAAAACAAAAAAAAAACCCCAAGCAGCCTTTCAAGTGAGGTGTAAATTAAGACCACATGGAAGAAGCATACTAGCTTCCATGAGCCAAGGATTGTAAATAATAAAATCCAAGAACAAAGAAAGAAGTTGTATTCAGCTTAAATTCTGAACATCGAATTTGCAGAAGGCTATTGAGAACAGTGAAAGCCCCAAGTCCACCTGTAGTGTCCCCATGTGGATTAAGCCTCCAGGGGATCCCCTCTGACCATTGATCCGGAGGTGAATAGCCTTGCTTTCAGAGTGCATTGGAAAGTGGATGAATGCAGATGCTGCTGCTGTTCGGTGCCTTCAGGTCAGTTCTGACCCCTAAAGACCGTGTACACAACAAAAGGAACCATTCTCCATTACCAGCAGGTTCTTAAACCCATTGTTGCAGACCTGGCATCAGTTTGCCTTGTCAAGGGCCTTCTTGTTTTGGGGTGCCCCTGTACTTTACAAAGCATGATGTCCTTCTCCAGGGACTGGTCTCTCCTGACAACATGTCCAAAAGACGGGAGACAAGGTCTGGCCATTCTTGCCTCTAAGAAGCATATTGGTTGTGCTTCTTCCAAGGAAAGATGTGTTTGTCCTTCTGGCAGTTCATCATACTTTCAATATTCTTCACCAACATTATAATTCAAATGCACGGATTCTTCCTTATTCAGTGTCCACTTTTCACATACATTTGAGGTCATTGAAAATACCATCACTTGGGCTACTTTCCCTCAAAATAATGCCTTGGTTTTCAACACTTTATAGAGGTCTTGGGCAGCAGATTTACCAAATGCAATTTATGCATCATTTGATTTCTTGAATTCTGCTTCCATGTGCACTGATTGTAGATCCAAGCAAGACAAAATCCTTTATTTTTTTATTTTTTATTTGTTTAATCATTTTATTAGGGGCTCATACAACTCATCACAATCCATACATACATCAATTGTGTAAAGCGCATTTGTACGTTCATTGCCCGACAAAATCCTTTATAACCTCAATCATTTCTTCTTTTATCATGATATCACCTGATGGTCCAGGGGTGAGACTTTTTGTGTTCTGTACATTATTTCGTAATCCATGCTGATTACAACAGTCCTTGATCTTCATCAGCAAGTACTCTTCATTCCTCATTTTCAGCAAACAAGTTTGTATCATCTGCATATCGCAAGTTGTTAATAAGCCTTCCTTCAGTGCTGATGCTGTATTCTTCTTCATATAATCCAGTTTCTCTGATGATTTGCTCAACATGCATGTTGAATCAGTATGGTGAGAGGATACAACCCTAATGCATACCTTTTCTAATTTTAAACCATGCAATATTCCCTTGTTCTGTTTGCACAATGGCCTCTTGATCCATATACAAGTTCCATATGAGCACAATGGAATGTTCCAGAATTCCCATTCTTCTCAAGGCTATTCATAGTTTGTTATGATCCACATGGTCAAATGGTTTGGCATAGGTAATAAAACACAAGTAAATGTATTTCTGGTATTCTCCCCTTTCAGCCAAGATCCATCTGACATCAGCAATCGTGTTCCTTGTCCTACATCCTCTTCTGAATCCAGCATGAACCTCTGACAGCCCTGTCAGCATATTGCTGCAACCATTGGTAGATGATCAGCAACATTTTCCTTGCATGTGACATGAATAATATCTGCATTCTGTGGGGTCACCTTTTTTTGGAATTGGCACAAATATGGTTCTTTCCTAATCTGGTGGTCACTAACTGTGTCCCAGGTTTCTGGGTCCCAGGTATCCCGGCAATTCGTGGAACCTTGGGTTTTGCTAATGCCTTCATTGCAGCTTGCACTTCTTCCTTCTACACCACTGGTTCTTGATCAGTTCGTTTTGGTACAGTGACTCTGTATACTCCTTCTATCTTTTTTTGGTACTGCCTGCATATTTATTATTTTGCCCATAGACTCTTTTAATATTGTGACTCGAGGCTTACATTTTTTCTTCAATTCTTCCAGCTTGAGCTATGCTGAGCATGTTCTCCCTTTATGGATTTCTAGTTGATTTGATTCCTGTGCATCCCACCTGGCAAAGTCTCTATGTACAGTTGCCATTTATGTTGCTAACAAAAGGCAGTTGCAATGAAGAAGTCAAATTTCAATAGCCAGGATGAGGGATAAAGCGGGGCACATTACAACAGACTCTAATGAAATTAAAAGGCTAATTACACAGCACTAGGAAGGCCTGTACTCCAATGCATTCAACACCTTGGAAGACATGGACAAATACTTGGAAAAACAATCCCTCCCTAGATAGCCCGATGGACATCAAGAGCCTCAACAGATCTATAGAAATAGAAGAAATAGACAAGGTTATCAAAGGATTACCAACAAAATATCCCCCAGGTCTGATGGCTTCACAGGAGAATTCTATCAAGCATTCAGGGAAGAACTGACACCAATCCTACACAAACTCTTCCAGAGCATAGACAGAAACAGCAAACTCCTGAACTCTCTGGGAACCTAGTATAACACTGACACCTAAAGTGGGCAAGGGTCCCACTAGAATTGAGAATGACAGACTGATATGTCTAATGAACATTGATGCAAAAAGTCATTGTTCCTACAAAATTCTGTCATGTGAGCTCTAGCTTCATTTCTGTCATCAAGGCCATATTTTCCACTACTATCCCTTCCTTTTTGTTTCCAACTTTTGCATTTCAGTCTCCAGTAATTATCAGTGCATCTTGATCGCAGGTTTGACCAATTTCAGACTAAAGAGTTAGTAGAACAAAAAGCTAGTAGAATTCTCAATTTCTTCATCACTAGCTTTAGTGGTGGGTGCGTAAATTTGAGTAGTAGTTGTCTTAACTGAATTTCTTTGTAGGCATATCAATATTATTGTATAATTATTATTACATGTAGATATTATTATAGACATATAAGCATAATCCTATCACATCACACTTAAAGATAAAGCTTGAAGTGTTCTTTGGAAGATGAATGTGATGTCCTTCCTCTTGAATTTGTCATCCCCAATTTAGTAAACCATATGATTCCCTGATTCAAAATGGCCAACATCAGTCCACTTCAGCTCACTAATGCCTTGATCTCACTAATATTGATCTTTATGTATTTCATTTCATTTTTGAAGACTTCCAGTTTTTCCAGGTTCATGCTTTTGTACATTCCATGTTCCCATTATTAATACAGTGAACCCTCATTTATCGCGGTTAATCGGTTCTAGACCCTACCGTGATAAATGAAATTCCGTGAAGTAGGATTCCTTATTTGTAAATCAAATATTTTCGTAGTTAGAGCAGAGAGGACATGAAAAAACACCCTTTAGTCACCATTACACTCGTATTACCCAATTTATTAAACGAAAAAGGGAAAATACAGTAAAACATTTTGGACGTTACAATTATCATTTATTATTTATTATATTATTTGTGGCATCAAGCGTGTACAGTATGAGCCAATCAGTGGCAGTAATGACAGAGCATGCGCTGTTACACAAAAACCGCGATAGAGTGAAGCCACGGAAGTCGAAGCGCGAAGTGGCGAGGGTTCACTGTAATAGATGTTTGCAACTGTCTGATCACATTTTAAGTTGTGCCTCATCAGCACTCCAAGGTCCTGAAGGCTTACCTTCACATCATCCATATCATTATGACTGATTCTACTTTGTGACTCTCCTGTTAAGTGTCTTCCGACCTGAAAGGCTAATCCTCCTGCTCTGTATCTATGATGTTCTGCTGCTATGCATAAGGTTTTCAGTATATCTGATAATGTCCCACTGTTACTTATCAGATCTTCGGTGGCTAATTCCTCAGAAGTGGACAGCCCATTCCTTCTTGGTAGTCTCTTCTTAGCCTGGGAACTCCACCGAAACCTGTTTTCCTTGGATGAGCCTGATGGTACTTGAAATACTAATGACCTAGATTGCAGCATTATAGCAACATGCAAACCAACTCGGTACATAGTGGTGGACAAGTGGTGACTTGTCTGTTGCTGGGTGCTGGCATTCATGAGTACACACAAATGCTCCTTGCCTCTATGACTCCCAGAATTCTTTGTGATCACTGGATTCCACACTAGGCCTTTAGTAATGCATTAAAATTTTACTTGATTTCTTCTTGCTGGTTGGTATGATCATTCAAATCCCACCCGTATACTCCACCACCGTAGAGACAGTTTAGATCATCAGTCTCTTGTTGGATTTTAGGCTGCTTTTTTGGCTTGCAATCTCATCTCAGCTCAAAGGCTCAACTTTTCCCTTTAAGAAAAGTAATGATTTTGTCGTTTATTTGACTTTTTCTCATTGTCAGAGTGGAAGACATCCTCTTTATATCTTTTACATTCTAAGGGGAAGCTAAGGAGCCCTGGTGGCACTGAGGTAGTTTACTGTGCCAACCTGGCCGTTAATTGTGGGGTTAATTGAAGGGCAGAGGGATAAATGGCTCGGTGAGCCTCGCCTTTCTAGTTCTCAGGTCTCTTGCTTTGTGATGGTCGGACCAGGGTGCCTCTGCCTTAGCCAGTTCCCTGCTTCAGCTGGCAAGGCTTCACTTCCTGCAAGACATCCCCGAGGAGAAGCCACACGGACCTACCCCTATGCAGCCCTGGGTGCTGGAGCAGCCATGTGGAGACCCCTGCCAGCGCTGAGATGCTTACACATTCACTGACTCAGTTTTCCTCCTGCAGTCAGCATTATTACGTGTGTTTTGTGAGATGGAGGAGGACTTTGTGGATTGGTGTTGGACATATGGGTTAATGGGTTAATGTTGGACTTGTGGGCTTGGGCAGCACTGGGTTGGGATGTTTTCTTAATATGCCCTTACCCTTTATATAAAAGTCTCTTTTATACATATGAGTTTCTGTGGATTTGTTTCTCTAATGTACCCAGACTAACACAGGCACCATGGTGGGTAAGTCATTAATCTCATCTCCCTCATCAGACTCCTACAACTTTCCAGAAGAAGGATGATGGCTAGCTACATTATTGGCAGGACTCTGCCATACATTCAAAGCAACATGGTCAGCCACTGTCTTGGAGCAGAACACAGCTCTTTGTTCCCTACTTGGGTCCAAAGATCATGAGCAACAGATCTGATTGCTATGCAGTAAGTATGTGACCCTTGTTTACCACTGCAATTACTGGGCCACTTTGAAGCAATTCAAACCCCTGATTTAAGTGAACTTCTATCATTGGGCATTGTATTAGATATAGTGCTTTATTTTCTCAGTTTGTCTGTGCTTGTAGACACCTCTTCCTTTGTAGAATTGCCCTTCCCCCACTCCAAGTGACTCCAGTGGGGTTGTGGAGGAGGAAGAAAGATTTTCCTCAGAAATATCTATGGCATAGGTAAATACATTTTGTGGATATTAGTCATAAAGTTGGAAGAAGTTGAGACATTCTTGTTCTTTGAGCTCTTCCTTCATATTTGTGATCCACCCTAATTGCCAAAATCCCATTTCATTTAAGCTGGCCTGATTTGAGTAAGTCACTGGCCCCGAAAAGTACCCTCATTAACATCCTCTCGGTAGCTTCTAAGTCTTGCCATTATAAAGAAACTGTGAAGAAACTCAAATTTTGCACATACGCATAATCTTTTTTCTCATTGAGATACATACATTCTCATTCCAGAAAAGGAGTTGCTGGATCAAGGTCTACTATAAAAATCATAAAAGTTTTTTTAATGTGTATAATTGATATTTCCTCCAAAACGATACATTCCTATTTCCATACCCCCACAACACTAAATAGGATTAATGTCAACAAATTTCCCAGATAGATAGATGTTTACTGGTTTTAGATTGATAACTGCTCCTACAACTACATTCGTAAGTATGGCAATAGAAAAATATAATGGCAAACAGAGATCATGTGGAAAGTTGAAATGAAGCCAGAGACAAAGGGTGGAGCCCAAGATGAGCTGGAAGCTTTACCGCTATGAACACTAAGCCCTAGCTTTCCCCAAAACTAGTTTTCTGGACAGGCTGAACCAGTATGATTGTGCCAAGCAGAGGCAAATTTGAGGAAATAAACAAAAGCCCTCCCCTGGTGTACCACCTTAGCCTGAGGCGCCAGCAGGCGATTGGCTGGAGCATCAGTCACCATCCCCATCCTTCCTGAGCAATGAGTACATAAGCCATGGCACGGTGGGCAGAGCGCCTCTTCTGAGGAAGCTGGCTCACCCACAATGATGTGGGCTCAACTTCTTCTAGGAATGTTGGCCCTGTCGCCAGCCGTGGCAGAAGAGTTTCTCCCGTAAGTGCTTGGCGACAGAGACGATAGAGAGCTGCTGGGTTCTTGGGGTACCTTCCAAACATTCATAAGGGGGAGAGGAGATAACCTTTGGGTTATGTTTTGGAGGCTTAATTTCCTGCTTTTCCCTTGTTTGGTTTCATGTCGCCTTTACGCAAAGAGGTACCAAGACAAAGCTTTTTCTTAAAGGTGCAATATTGAAAGATAATAGCATCCCTGTACCTTATTTCTTCCTTAACCTAGGCATGAGAGTCCCCAGGTGGTGCAAACAGTTAATGTACTTGGCTGCCAATGGAAAGGTTGGAGGTTCAAATCCACCCAGGAACAAAATCAACCATTTGAAAACCTTAGAGGGGACAGAGGAGCTCTGGTAGTACTGTGGTTAAAGTGCTCAGCTGTTAACCCAAAGGTCAGCAGTTCAAATCCACCAGCCACTCCATGGGAGAAAGAAGTGACAGGGTACGGCGTTGCATCTGCCTTGGAAACTGTGGGGCAATTCGAGCCTGTCTTCTAGGGTCATTAGGAGTTAGAATGGACCAGTGACAGTCGAAGATTTGGTTTTTGTGGAGCACCATTCTACTCTCAGAAGCAGAATCGACTCAGCGGTTCCTGGGTTTATCCTGGGTGTAGGTTCTGAATGAGGGACCCCCAGTGGGGGCAAGTTTCAGCCTGTTCCCTAGTCTGCTTCTCCCTTAGAGAAAACCAGGTTCATCAGAATAAGGACTTGTTTTGATTAATTCACTGTTCTCTAGCAAGTACTCAGGAGACGGTCTAGCTTTTTGCGGAAGGAAGGAATCATTATTGTCCTGAAAACACTTGTTTGTCTCTTAATAGAAACTACCTGGTGACATTACCAGCCCAGCTTAACTTCCCTTCGACTCAGAAAGTTTGTTTGGATCTGAGTCCTGGGTACTGTGGGGTGAAATTCACGGTCACGCTGGAGACCAAAGGCAAGACCCAGAAGTTGCTAGAACACTCCGGAATGAAGAAGAGGCACTTACACTGCATCTCCTTTCTGGTAGGCACAGTCCCAGCTCCGGATCCCTTCCTCTCCTTCGTCTCTACCTTAGGCACGCTCTGTAATCTACCTTCAAATAGGATTTCTGCTATTCTTTTTCACTCTGGCTTTTCGCCTATTTCCTCCAACCTTAGCTGTGATTCCTTGCCCTAACTCGCCACAGATACCTTGGCCTTTTTAGTTGCTGCTTTTAACTGCTCCCTTTAAAGTTTCTGGGTGGTGCCACTGGTTGGCGTTTGATACTGAGACGGTGGAGTGTCCAATTCACCCGAGGCGAGGGGGGGCTGCAGAAAATAAAGTCCCGGCAATGTTTCCATGAAGACGACAGATGAGATAACCCCATGGAGCAATTGTATTCTGCAACGTGGAAGGTCGGGGGTTCCCACTCATTACCTTGAGTTGGAATCAACTCTACAGCAGCGGGGTTTGCAGCTTTCCTTTCTCCGATGGCTCTGTCCGTGCTGTCGCTATGGGACTCCGTTGTCTAGTTTCTTCTCCTGGCGTCAGATTCAGAACTGCTGATCCTGCGGTCCGCGTCTCCTCCGCCTACTCCCCAGAGTTCACCTCTCTTTGGCTAGGTACCACCTCCTGCTGGGGGCACAGAAGAAGTGGCTACCATCCGGGTGGCCGGAGTTGGAAATAATGTCAACTTTGAGGAGAAGAAGAAGGTTCTAATTCAGAGGCATGGCAGTGGCACCTTTGTGCAGACAGACAAGCCTATCTACACCCTGGGGCAACCAGGTAAGGGGCTCTCGAGTGGGTGAGACAAGAGATTGGGGTTAGACAAGAGACTGTGCACACAGGTACCAAGGGAATTTGGGTTTGGGAGGCAGACCTATGAGACAGGAAGAGTGTGGAGGAAAGTCCAGAGAGATGACTGGTGACGGAGGTTGAATCTATGCCCAGTGCCACACTAGTGAAAGAATCGTGGTGGAGTTGCTACTGTGTGGGTGTTTCTAAAACCGAAGTATACATTTCCTCTGGACTAGAATTCAGTGAGTACAATTTTTGGGGTCTTGGAGCAAGCTGCTTGTATGTGGGTTAAAAAAAAAAAACCGCAGTCAGGGCATTTGGCTTGACTTCCTATATTTGTGTTATGCCTTCTCCCTTAGAGGAACACCTCACCCTGCGGTTTCAGTTAGGGACCCAGAAAGGAAGTGGGGTGGGGTAGGGGGAGGATGGAGAGGGGGACGGCGGGGGTTATCTTTCTCTCAAACTAGGATTTACTTATTCATTTATTAAGATCATTTTATTGGGGGCTCTTACAGCTCTTATAACAATCCATACATCAATTATATCAAGCATATGTGTCCATATGTTGACATTATTGTTTTCTAAACATTTACTTTCTATTTGAGCCATTGGTAAGAGTTCCTCTTTTTGCCCTTCCTCCCCCCCTCCCCCCCTGGTGACCCCTTGATGAATGATAAATTATTAGTATTTTCATATATTACACCGACTGCTATCTCTCTGCCCCCATGGTTTCTGCCGTTTGTCTCCCTTGGGGTGTGGAGTGTGTGTGGTTACGTGTGATCAGTTCTTCCTTCTTCCCCTTCTCTGCCACTCCCCACCCTCACCCCTATCCTCCTGGTATCACTATTCCCGTTTCTGTTCCTGAGGGGTTTACCTGACCTGCATTCCGTGGTGGGTCATGAGCTCTGTACCAGTGTACATGCCCCCTTCTAGCCTGAAGTGGAAGACAGGACTGGGTCAAACAAGGGTTTTTGTTTGTTGGTTTAAATGCATGTTTGTTTGTCGTTTTCCCAAAGGAGAGTTTGCGGACTCAGAGGTGTGTGCGAGGAAGCAAAGGGGTGGGAGAAGAGAATATTTGAGTGCCCTGGGATTAACGATGACTTTCTCTTTCAGTGTATTTCCGCATCGTCACCCTAACCAGCGATTTTATGCCGGTGAATGACAAGGTGAGGCTGTCGCTGGGAGGAAGGAGAGGGAGAGGAGTGGGGCAAACAGAAAAGAAGAGTCTCTGAGAGGGCGGGGTGTGTAGGTGTGACAAAGGAGCCCTAGTGGCACAGGGGTTAAGCACGTGGCTATTAAGACAAAGGCTGGCAGCGTGCGCCCTCCAGGGCCTCCACAGGAGAAAGAAAGGGCAGTCTGCTCCCGTAAAATCCATAGTCTTGGAAACTGTCTGGGGAGGGTGTGCAAAGGAGAGACCCTCTGGGCTGCAGAATACAGGGGCGGTTGAGTCCCCACGGTACTCGCCTGAGTCCTGCTGAGCTGCTTCTGTCTGAAGAACAGGAGAGGGGTCCTCAGTCTCAGCTTGGGATCGACTCACCAGCTAGCTTGTCCTCCCTGACTACTGGTCCCATTTGCCGTCATTTAAACATGAGTTTTTGCAAACTTTGAAACCTTCTTTTCAGGAATGATGCCAACTGGCTTGGCAGTGCAAACATTAAGAGATAATTCACTTGAAGAAAATGAAAACATTAAAATATCTACTTCCGCAATCATTGTGGTTTTGGCTGCGAGGAAGGGTAATTGTTTAAACAGCTTTAAACACAAAAGGGTTAATTTTGTTGTTATTGTTGTTTAAACAACTTTAAATGATAAAGTAGACAACTCCCTTAGGGCCAAAAAAAATTAAATATGAAAAGTAACCGTGGTGATATTTCACAAATATTTAAAATTCCCTTGGGCATCTTGATCACTAGACGCTCAAGCGGGTAATAGTTTTGACTACAAAATTGGGTTTGGGTCACTTTGACTAGCTTCTGAGCTCCTTATCCCTCAGGCCAGCCTGCTGTTGCCTTTCTCCCCCAGTCACAGCCAGGTATTCAAAGGTATGTTCTCAGAGCTTCTGTTGGCGTTCTCTTCATACAAGGAAGCTAGCGATTCCAGTTATCTGGTCTGCTCTAGTACAAATACTGCAAGTGGATGGTTTTAAGAATCAGGAACAAGAATTTATTCTCAAAAGTTTAGGAGGCTCACTCAAACCCACTTCCATCAAGTCACTTCTGACTCATGACAACTCTCTAAGACGGGGTAGAACTGTTAGCCTATGCATTTTTACAGGAGCAGAAAGCCTCATTCTCCCTCAGGTCAGCTGGTGGTTGCAAACTGTTGACCTTTCAATTAGCAGCCCAGTGCATAACCCACTACACAAGCAGGGATCCTTTTAGGAGGCTAGAAGTCTGAATTCAGAGTGCCTCCTACAAGGGAAGTCTTTCTCTCTCTGTCAGTTCTGGGGGACAGTTCTTGTGATCAATCTTTTCCTTGGTCTAAAGGTTTCTTGTCTCAAGGACCCTGGGTCCAAAGGATGTGCTCTGCTCTCAGCTTTTCTTTCTTGGCGGTAGTGAGTCTCTCTTCCTCTCTTCTTGGTAATAAGGTTCCTCTTTGAGCTCGTGTAAAATAAAAGGTGATGCAAACCACACCCAGGGAAACTCTCCTTACATGGGACCAGGGCTGACACCTGAGTAAGGGTGTTGCATCCCACCCTAATCTGTTTACAACTGATTGGCAGATCACATCAGAGCACCCCATTGGGTATAATTACATCATTGCACAGCTGCCTCTAATCCTGCAGTGTCAACACCGTGGACTTTATGTTTTATAGCACACAGGATAATTATGTAATATTGAGAAGCATGATCTAGCCAAATTGGCATATATTTGGGAGAACACAGTTCTATTCATTTTGTTCAAATATTCTATGCTTCAGCCCTCAACTGTTCACACCCTTGCTACATGTAAAACATGTTCACCCCATCATATCATTCCCAAAGTTTTAAATCAACTCCAAGTCTTAAGTCCATCTTTGGACAAAATTCTTCTTCAGCTGTGAATCTAGAATACAAGTCACCTTCTTCCAAAGTACAATGGTGATCTAGGCACCAGGTGGATATTTCCATTACAAATGGGAAAAATAGCAGACACCACGTAAGTTAAAGACCCAGCAGAATAATTTCTCCGAGGTCTACTAGCCAATGACCCCGTCCTCCAGAAGCTCTGAGCTTGTTACTGATTGATGGCTGCCTCCACTCCGTTCTTGCTTAATTGCCATTCTTCTCCACTTCTCCTTCCCAGTGCCTGTACCCGTTCTCTAACAGGAGTTTGGTATACAATTGAGTCTTCCTTCCTTCCATTCATTCTTTCTTTCTGTGTTTCTTGGTGAAAGTTTACACAGCATGTGAGGTTCCCATGTAACACGTTCTGCATTTATTGTTTAGTGTCATTACATTTCTCACGAGGTGTCAGCCTTCTCCTCCTGTCTATTCTGTTTTTGTTGTTGTTTTGCTTCTATTAATCTAGCGTCTCTGGCCCCACCTTACCTTCTCATCTTTGCCTTAGGATAAATATTGACTGTCGGTCTAATGTAGATGGATGTTTTTGAAGAGCAGAATACTCATGAGAGATTTGGTTGTTTGTCTTAGGAACCAATCTATTATTTGACCAGAAAGGTGACCTCTAGGAGGGGGTTTAGCTCCAAGTTTAAATGGCATTTCAGGGTAATAGACTTGGGAAATCCTCTAACTTTTACTAATCTAGTAAGTGTGGCCTTTTCCTGAAAATCAGGTTTATTCAACATTTTACTCCCATTCTATCCTGTACCACCTATTGAATCCCTAATCAGAATGTGTATTGATGGTAGCTGGGCACCAGCTAGTTCTTCTGGTCTCAGAATAGATGGAGTCATGGTTTGTATGAGCTGTCGGTACTGCCAACTGGTTTCTTCTTTGAATCTTTGGTTTCTTTATTTCTATTTTCTCCAAATGAGCACATACCAATAGTTGTATCTTAGATGGCTGCTCACAAGCTTCTAAGACTCCAGAGGTTACTTACCAAACTGTTATAGAATAATGTCTTTTTGAACTATATTATGCCAATTGACTGAATCGTCCCCTGAGACTCTGGCCTTCAGACTTCAAACACAGTAAACAAAGTCTGTGAGGTGTCTGGTCATGTCTACAAAGTGTCCAAAGCTATAGCTTCGACTCTTTAGATTATGTTGTTGTTGTTAGGTGCGTCAAGTTGGTCTAACGCAGACCGACCCTATGTAGAACAAATTGACACTGCCCCATTCTGTACCATCCTCACACTTGTTCTAATGTCTGAGCCCATTGCTGCAGCCCCGGGTTGTCTTCTTCTCTGTCACTGCCTCTCTCCTTTACCAAGCATGATGCCCTTCCCTGGGGACTGGTCTCACTTGAGAATGTCCAAAGTATGTAAGATGAAATCTCGCCATCCTTGCCTATAAAGAGCACTCTGGCTGTACTTCTTTCAAGACCGATTTATTTGTTCTTTTGGTAGTCCATGGTAATTTCAATATTCTTTTTTTAAAAACCATTTTATTAGGGGCTCATACAACTCTTATCACCATACATACATACATCAATTGTGTAAGGCACATTTGTACATTCATTGCCCTCATCATTCTCAAAACATTTGCTCTCCACTTAAGCACCCCCCCTCCCGCATCAGCTCCTCATTTATCCCCTCCCTCCTTCCTTCCCCCTCCCTCATGAACCCTTGATAATTTATAAATTATAATTTTGTCATATCTTGCACTGTCTGACGTCTCCCTTCACCCACTTTTCTGTTGTCCATCCCCCAGGGAGGAGGTTATATGTAGATCCTGGTAATCGGTTCCCCCTTTCTACCCCACCTTCCCTCCACCCTCCTAGTATCACCACTGTCACCACTGGTCCTGAAGGGATCATCTGTCCTGGATTCCTTGTGTTTCCAGTTCCTATCTGTACCTTTTTAACCCCACCTCTCAACCCTGCGCTTCAAACCCTCTTTCCTCACTGAGTTTTTGTCTTGAGGCTGGGTAGTTCTCTTACTTGACCTCTTTTGATCAATGACTCATTTAGACCATCTACTGGACTTCTGCAATGGCTTTTCCCCATACCATTTTCCCAGGGCAGCCTTAACAAAGTCCCACAAACTACGTGGCTTAACACAGCATAAATGCACTGCCTCACTGTTCAGGAGGCTAAAAACCTGAATTGCGAGTGTTGGTAGGGCTATGCTCCCTCTGAAGGCCCCATGAAAGTCTTTCCTCATCTCTTCTTGTTCGGGCATGCCCAATTGTTGTTTCACTTGCAATAGCATGAGTCTAGTCTCTGTCTGCATGGCCCTCTATGTGTCTGTCT